CATTCGCGCCACAGATGACCAAGTAAAAGGCAAGAAATTTTGATGCCATTCTTCAAATTTGCTCTAGTTTTTGTTTGGAAATCCATCTTAAAAGATGTTTGGGTAAGATTAAAATCATAGTTGTAGAAATGCTTTTACGGTATACGAAGTAAATAGATTGAGAAATTTATCTCGATTTGCGAAAAAGTATTTCTGAAAAGTGATTATTGGGGTATCCAAACATAGTTTTAGGATACTAAAATTTCAAATTGATCAACTAAATATTCTTAAGTCAATTTAAGAAATGTTTGAATACAAACAAAACTATAGTTTTAAAAATAATGTTAAAATATAGAAAGCAAGTACTCATCTGGTCCTATTTATAAGGCACTTCTAACATGTTTTACACAGATCAAGAAAAATCTTAAACTACATTAACTCTTTGTTAAAATATAACAACTTTTCAACTTTACCCCTATTTAATATATACTCCTTTCAAAAAAAAAAAAGCTACCTACACTATAATAAATAAAAGATAATATGGTACATTCATGGTAAAAATTTAATGAAGTGACTTATAAATATGACTAAAAAAATCTTCTCTATCTACTCTATAAATAGGACCAGAAGAGAGTACATAATAAGAGTTTTATCTCGATTGGCATAAAAAGTAGGGAAGTCCAACACCCCCAGGTAATTAATTTGGGATTTTGTGAATGTTTTATGTTTACAACATTGCCCCCCAATTTGTTTTTTTTTTCAAAGCCACCTCTTTTTTCACCGTCCCTTGATGCCATCTCAGCTGGCAACTTGTTGATCTTTAATGCTAGCGCCCATGGCAATTTTAGTACAAAACTTTTTGTTGTAAATAACTAATAGGGATTTGTGAATAGTTAAATTTAACTTGTTAATGTCTAAATTTACCTTGTAATTACAGGTTTGAAGAATACCAATTTTGCATAAAAATTTTGTTGTGAATAATTAATGAGAACTTGTGAATTATTGAAGGGAAAAAGATTAAAAAAAACCCTTAAATATATAAAATTTCATATCAATATTAGTGAAAAGCAGGATCTCATATCAAAACAGGGGTATTGATTTGCTCTTTTCAAATGTTGGCAAAAAAAAAAAAGCATGCCCTTGATAAATTGACAAAAGGAAAGATAATACAGAAAATAAGTTAGAATAGTCTATTTGTATAAATGTATTGTCAATTGATATGAAAAAGTTGTCAACACACTTAATAAAGGGACAACATGTGATTTGTCAAAGTTTCTCAATTGGTTTAACCTATAATGAATTTTGTTGATTACTTGTTGTCAATATATATAATTGTTGTCAATATATTTAAAAGAGTAGTCAATGGTTCTAACTAGTTGGCAGCAATTAATTTGCCCAAGTTTGCCAATTAGTTTGCCCTGTAATAAAATTTCTTAATTACTTGTTGTTGATATATATAAAAGTATTGTCAATCTATTTGGAAAAGTTGGCAATGCACCCAACAAAGTTGTACTGAATTTTTCTAATTATTTGTTTTTATACATAAAAAAAGTGTTGTTAATTTATTTGAAAAAGTCGTCAACTAGCCTAACAAAGTTGTTAATCTATTTATGTGATGGCAATTGGTGCGCTTCGTTACAAATTTTCCACATTACTTGTAGTGAATACGTATAAAAGTGTTGTTAACCAATAAACATTACATAATTCAAGTGGTGTTTTTCAAATATAAGTAAGCACCAGATACATAGTTGTCAAAAAGTTTAATAAAGTAGTAAACACCTAATTCATATATTATCATCACATAATCCAACCAACAACAATCTTGCTCACTGCTTGGACTAGTGCTACCACTTTGTTGATTTTTTCTTTGTTCAAGCAACTTCAAAGCTTTAACCCTTTTTTTTTTTGTCACAAAAGAATGAGTCAAAGTTTCCGTCAATTAGACCACACCATCTTCAACAAGGCGTTTAGATTTGCAAACTCACTTCGTTATATATTTATACATATATATATCTTCATCATCTTAATGATTCCTTAGAGCACAGCTTAGGCAAACCCAAAAACAATAAAGACCAGCTAATCTTTATGGAGATTAGGCGCTCCTTCCTATTTCTTAATCATCAAGATGATTATTCATTCTTCTACAACTTGTATTCTGAGATAAATTCTGGTTCCAACATGAACAACAAAAGGAATATTTCCAGTTTGTTGATTCTATCCTACAACAAAATCGATTGGTGACTCTTAGAAGCTACCTTAGAGTCTTTTCTGCATCAGAGAGGATGACGGAGATGACAAGAAGCAGCTAGAGAAAAAGGAAGCCATGGATTTTGATTGAAACAAATCCATGTTTGAGGGTAACTATAAGCAACAAGCTCAAACTATGATTAACTATTACGTGCAGCTTTAGGACCCTTACGCCGATATGAATGAGTTCCACCATTTGGGAACCAAAAGAGCTCATTATCATTCGACCTTTGCCTTTGTTTTTGACAATGTGTGCTTTGAAGTTCTGGCACCGATGAGGTTTGGATCGTCTTCTTTGGATATGTGCCATTGCTAGCTATGGGGAAGGAACAACGAAAGGAAGGTGGGAGAGGGAGAGAGAAATAGTAAGGAGGGGAGAGAGTTAATCTGGCAGGTTGATGGTGAGGTTGTTGTGAGAGGAAGAGAGAAAGAGTGAGGATGGGAGAGAGAAATCAGAAAAAGAATAGGAGGGGAAAGAATTAACTAGAGGGCACAGTGGTCAATTAACATCATTCCAAAATCCCAATTTAACACCTATAGCTTGACTTGGATTGGTATTATTGAGGTAACTAATTTGGGTTTTACAAATGTTGAGGGCATTTTATGGGATTTTTCCATTGCTAAATTAAACTTGTCAATTGCTAATTATGTCTTTTGATTGAATTACATCATGAACTCATTGGAGAACGCAACTTTATTGCAAAAGTTTTGTTGTGAATAAATAGTGAGAACCTGAGAATTGTTAAATTGAATATGATAATTTCTTAGCATGTATTGTGATTGAATAACAACAAAGGTTTACTAAACAATGCAATTTTAAAGCCACATTTTTTTAAATTCACAACGAAACTCTTGTAATAAAGTTGCACTATTCAATAACGCTTTTGTTATTGTTCAAGATATACTTAAAAAATTAACAAATTCAATTTAATAATTCACAAATTCTTATTAATTTTCACAATAAACCTTATGTAAACAATCTATTTTGTAGAAAATTAATGAATATTAATTTATCGTAATTCAATTGTCACTCTATAGCCCCACCCTCTCTCTCTGTATATACAATGGATAAAAAAAAAAAATCTATTCATGAATTGTTTATAAACCGTGAGCATTGTATATTGAGTTTTATATATTCTAAATTCCGAGTTTAATATTTAACGTGCACAAAATAAAATTGCATCTGTCTCAAACATTATCTTATATTTGTCTAATATGGGGTCTGAAGTTCGGAAAAGTAAATGCAAATATTTATAATTGATAAATAGTTTAATTTATTTGAATTTTGGGTGAAGAGGCAATTTTACTTGTTGTATTATGGCTTCAAGCTATTTAATAAAATAAAAAATCAAATATATATGATTTCTGATCATAAGATAGAAAATCAAAAGTGTATAGCTTCTAACTGTAATATAGAAAATCAATGCTATATGACTTGTAACCATTTAATCTGAAAAGAATGAGAAGTCAGAGTTATATGGCTTCTGGCCATTTAATTTCAAGGAGATAGAAAATCAAAATCATAAAAAGATTGCAAGTATCGATTGAAACTTCAAGTTCTATTAAAATAGTGACGTCAGATTACAGAGGAACAAAGAAAAAAAAAATTTCTCCCATCACAAGTAGTTTGAAAGGTATAATATCCCCGTCAAAATTAAATTATAGCTCTAAAATGTAAAGTGAAATCTTCAATCTTAGCTATGAAATCTGATATATAAAGCATCAATAGAAGATCTTTTCAATTCTATGTAATGGCTCGATTATCCTAAAAGGGCGATTACAAATATGAATACTTCAAAACACCATATATATGATGTTTGAGATATTTTCATTTGAATAGAGCAAATGATACTCTAGAACAAAAACTTATAGAGGTGATGCTCTGAAGTTATATTGAGGATGAAAGATATATCATATATACCTTGGTTACAGTAGTTTCGTGTTGATAATTTGTTATAAAACTAAGGGAGAATAAAAGACATGAGTATTTCTCATTTCATTCAAGGATGGTGAATACATGATACATAACCTCTATTTATAGGTATAACTTTATATTTTTGATAGAATCTGCAGATTACATAATAATAAGAGATAATTATAAGATATAAAAATAATATGAGATATTGGAGATGATAGGAGATATAGAAGATAATAAAAGATATATAGATATCCATAAAGATATTATTATATTCATAACACATAACACATTAGGATTTTTCTGGTCCAAAAATAATATAAGGATTTAAGGCTTAAAAAAAAGAATATGAGAATGTACCAAAATAAAAATTAAATTTATCTCAGTTAATATTTTTAATTAGACAGTACCTATATACATATATACTCCTCCGGTCCTAATTATAAGACCCAATTGACTTATTTGAGGAGATTAAGGAGTAAGTTAAGTTGGTTATAAATAAATAAGTTATTCCTAAAATATCCTTGCTAATTAAGTATATTGGCTAAAACTATCATTATTAGAAGGATTATCTTGGAAAAAAATACATAAATATAAGAGAGAAAAGGATTGGGTCTTATAATTAGGACCAAATAAAAAGTCAAATGGGTCTTATAATAAGGACCGAAGAGTATATATATATATATATATGTATGTGTATATATAGATAAGATTGAGTCATGCAGGCAGTCAGATCCGAGCGGTTGGTGGATTGCACGCGCTGCAACGAGGAATTCCGATTCCCAGATTCAGAGGTGCCATTTTAAAAGTTGGTTCCTACTGAGGCTCTTGAGAAACTATAGAAAGCACGCTGAGGTTTTAGAGCCCTTTACTTTGCTATCAACTAGGGTTTTAAGGTTAGGGTTTTCACCTCTTCCCCCCTCTCTCTCTTCCGATTCCGGAAGCCATGGATAGGTACCAGAAGGTTGAGAAGCCAAAACCCGAATCGCCGATAAACGAGAACGAGATCCGAATCACCACCCAAGGCGCTATCAGAAACTACATCAGCTATGCCACCTCTCTTCTCCAGGTATCCTTTATTTGTTCCCTTTTCTTTTGCTTTAGGTTAATCTCCTTTGCTTTTCCCCGTGTTTTCGGGTTTCATTTCCTTCCCTTTTGGATTGTATGTTGATTCAATTTATCTGCATTCCGGTGGATTTCTTGATCAGTGATTAATGTACGCTGCTAGTCCTACTTTAGTTGTGATTACCTGCTGTGATTTCTTTTGTTTTTGAGTAGTACCTCTATTCATCTATGTTTAAGATTTTTTTTTTTTGGTTACATGGCTAGCAGAATTGTCTATTGGTTTTGAACAATGGACTGATATAGTTCCTATGTGCGTGAATTCCTCCCCTCTTCTTGTTCTACTCGATATATTCGTTTCGATTTATTGATTGTGACATGTCAATCTGCGTTCCTTAGGTTCATTGAATGAGGAATAGTTGTTCGTTATTGATGCCATTTTAGCCGTTAGGGCTATTTGTAACGCCTTTTGTTTTTTTGTTTTCCCCTTCAAACCCTATTTCGATTTGGTCTATAGATTGATACAGTCCATCTACATTCCCATCTGTTCACTGAATAATGAAGGCCGTTGGTTAACAATCCGATTTGCACCGTTAAGACTATTGGTAACACCTCTTTTCTTTTTTGGTAGTAACTGTCTCTCCTTCTGGTGGGTAAGGGTCGTTTGTTTCCTTTTTACGTTGCTTGCGTAGTGCTGTTTTAATTTTAATCAATGGACTGATCGAATCTCTACAGGAGTGACGTCCTTACGTTTTCCCCTCAATTATTACTATAAGCCCTCAAAACTGGTACCTGAGATTTGTGGATAGGTAGATGCATTTTTATTCCCATTTAACTACTTGGTTGTGTATTTCTCTACCGTTTGTGTCTCATTTTGTAAAATTTAGTCAACCTTTTGCAGCAAAAACTAGATTCACTGGGGCCATCCTACTTCTTACCTTCATGATTTCTATTTAAGAGTTGAAGCAATCCCATCCAAATCCGCGATGAGATATTTCACTGGCTGTTGTTCTTTCATGAACATGTCTTGCACTATGTCAAACTGCAGTGTGTTTTTAAGACAAGTTGAGTGGGCAGCATGGTTAAGAGGGTGCCTAAGATGCAAGTTGCAGTGACTTGCATCTGAACTGTATCTGGCAATATTGATAGTCTGCACTTCTTACACTTATGTGCTCCTTGTGGCGTAGGAGGAGCTAGATTTTCCATTATATTGCCCTATGTTACTGAGTGAACTGTGAATCTAGATGAAGCAGCTTTATTTAAGAGGGACAACCGTTTTGTTTTTTGGGTTCGTTTTCATGTGTGCATTTACCTTTGAAAATTTTTTTCTCCCTAAGTTGCCATTTTGCATGATAACATTCATATTTCATAATATACTGGGGACATTTCTTTGTTGGGAAGTAGCTTGGTGTTGATTGATTTTAATTGATGGAAGTTTTCTTTGATCTGATTTATAAATAACCTTGTCACATATGATAACATTTTTTCTGTTGTTTTTTTCTGAGTGATATAATATCGTAGTCTCTCCTGTTAGTAATTGCCTACTTTGTTATTGATGAATTTTTCACTTCAGGAAAAACATGTAAGAGAGATTGTCTTGAAGGCAATGGGACAGGCAATCAGCAAGACAGTTGCCATTGCCGAGATTTTAAAGGTTCGTCTTCTTCTGAAGACCCACCCCCCAGCACCCACACAATGTTATTTTGATGCAACAGAGAAAAGCATTTGTGACCAAGGAAAAGAGTAGACCGTGTAAAAGCATGCAAAAATTAGATGGCAAGGCAAAAATTATGTTGGGAGTGCTATCCTAGGAGTCCAAAATTCTTAAATTTGACTTGATAGAACTAGGTATCAGAGATTGTATTAAAAAAATAAAAATACATGGAATGGCATGGGTGTCTATATCCTGTGGCAAGAGGTCTAGAAAATATAGCATGCAGTCATGATGGGGAAACATATGGGAAGTCGCCTGGCCAGTCACCCAAATTGTTCTCAGAAAGCAAAACATGTCAAACTCCTCAAAATACTGGATATCTTGGGATTCATATTGTTCTCATTCTGGCTGTATTTCTGTCCTAAACAGAAGAGGATTCCCCGGCTGCATCAAGATACTGCAATCAGCTCAGTAAGCATAACGGATGTGTGGGAACCCATTGAAGAGGGTCTTGTACCGTAAGATATAATTATTGACTCTTGAGTTTAAAGATTCAGACTTCAGAGTGCATGCACTCTGTTTTTCTCTTAATTTTATATCAGAAGTCGTTGAACATTAGTGTTTGATGCAGCGTGGAGATGACTCGCCATGTCTCTATGATCTCAATCACCTTATCAACTAGAGAGTTAGACAAAAACTCTCCAGGGTAGGTAGTTCAAGGACTTGTAGTCTCATATACCCAATTATGCTCCTTTTCACTCAAAATTTGCTGCTATAGTATATCGCAAAAAAGAATATACATATTTCCTGCTATAATGGCCTGTTGGATCTAATTTTCAAGCATAGCTTGTAAGCTTCTGGATATATGGATTTGACATCGTTAGGATGCTGTCTCTGGCTTTCTCCACAGGTACCAAGCTCCGTATAATGTGGAGCAATCAAAGCCGCAATTCAATTATCAGCAACAACAGCCAAAACCATTACGTGGTCCATATAATGCTGTAAATGAAGGTGACCTATTAGAATTGCAAGAACGTAGTTGAGCGTTAAAGTTTCTTGTATACATATCATAGACACATTATCCTTTTCTTCAGACTCATATGGTCGAGGCCGGGGTCGAGGAAGAGGGAGAGGAAGAGGATGGGGAAGGGGTGGATATGGCTATCAAGGTGGAAATTATCAAGGTAGTTATGGAAATTATCAAGGCGGGTATGGGTATTACCAGGGTGGATATGGAAATTACCAAGGTATGGATTTTGACATGAAATTTTGTTCCTTATTTGCTATTATTTGTTTCATAGCCTGGTATATATCTTGGTTTTCATGTGTCATTTCTTGGCAGATAATGGTGGATATTCAAATCGGGGCCGTGGTGGTGGGAGAGGAAGAGGTTGGGGTTATCGTGGTAAGCTTATCTTGATTGTACATCCTATATCTCTGAATTCAAAATTATGACATTCAGTGGGCAAAAAAACTGCTCTCTTAGGCTGGATTTTCCACTTTTTGTGTGTGTGTGTGTGTGGCTCTCTTAGGCTGGATTTTCCACTTTTGTGTGTGTGTGTGTGTGTGTGTGTGTGAAATTGTGGGATCTATATGTATACATGTTTGTTTCACCAGAAGCCACCCCTCTAAATATGAGAAAACTGCATTTGTGGGATCTATATGTATACATGTTTGTTCAGTCTCGCAGTAGTGATGATCCGTATGCGATTCACAGGTACTGGTTATGAAAGAGGTACTGGTTATGAAAGAGGAAGAGGTGGAGGCAGGGGTTATAGCCGTGGTCGAGGACGAATGGGAGGACGTTCTTCAAGGGGTGGTGGCAACCAGGCATGATGTTAGTTGATTTTCTTTCCGTTCCTTCTAAATGCTTGCCCGGTGCGTGAATTGTTATCAGAATACCATGTTGATAGTGTGATTTGGCTCATGATCCTGCATTATTAAGCAGTAGTTTATGTTGTCTAGTGATTAAGTTGATATGGGCAAGGTTTTGCGCATCTCTTTTTTAGCTGGAAAGCGTCTAGTTCTGATGTTTGCTGCAATTCATTTCAACTAAATGGTTTCCTACACCATATTTGTATTTATCTTCAGTTTCTATATATGATCCTTTCCTGAATGTCCAATCTTTCATGACGGATGCCTGAGCCGTAAGTGCCCCACCTGTCTGGGGTGCAATTTATGTTGATGCCATGTGAAGAAAGAGCAAATGCAAAGACTGCAGTGGTGTAACGCCTTGGTAGTTTAACCGTTATATTAAATTTGGATTTTTTGGGACTCTATTAAATTTGGATTTGAATACTACGAAAACTTGAACCTAGGACGAAACTTGTGGTGAATGCAACGCCAAAGCTATTGTTTCCAAGGGCAAATCTTCCTTGTAGAATTCCGCACCTTCTCCATCATAAATCATCTAAAAAACATCACTTGTGCTTATGAAGGTTTCTTTTAACCAACCATATGTGCACACGAACTTTGGGCCAAATCACACCCACACGCACACTAACTGAGCTAACAAAGATAACTCTAGGGATATAAATACAGAGATTGAAAATAGGTAAGAAACAAAAAACCAAACGGGATATTAAATCAGTTGAAGAAATAGTTTAAGGGCTAGTGGTTACACTGAGGTTAGACCGGAGTTAGGCCAGTTATATTAAAATAATATAATTTAATTGATAATAATAAAACATAGCAACATTAATAATTATTTATAACAAAATATGAGAAAATATAACAATAATTTAATTACAACAAACAACAAAATACAACAATATTAAAAATATTTATCTTTGCAATTTTTAATCACTAAAATTCAAAATATTATATTTGATGTAAAAGTTTTTATTTGGTTATATAAATTTTTTAATGAAAGTAATATAAAAAACATCCTTTACCTCTTCCAGACGTTCTTTTTATTTTTTTTGGGCATATCATGAGAGATAAACAATCAAATCAAACATGAGGCTTTGAAAAACCAAAAAAATAGGGAAAAAAAATTACATTGAGCCTGCAAAATAGAGTCTAATAGGGAATTCAGACCAGTTTTTTATTTTGTTCTTTCAAGGCAGTACATTTCGTCTCTTTCTCCTCTTTTTCCTTTTTCAATTTTTCTATTTCATTTGTTTCTTCTTCCACCGGCTCTCTTCAAGTTCAAACTCTGCACTTTTCCTTCTTCTTTGATGGACGATGGGGTTCAGAAAGCAAAACCAACAAGGACGTGGCTCTTTACCTCCAAGAAATGATCGGCAAGCTCCTCTTTTTTTTTTCCTCTCCGTCTCGTCCTTCTTAACTTCTTTCTCCTCCTCAATTTTGGACGTCCTTCTTCCTTCAGATCTGATATGTTTTTTTTGTAGTTCTTATTTCACCTCTTCTTCCTCTGTTGGGACTTGGGAGGCAATCCAAAAAAAAACCAATAACACAATCTAGCCGCCGGTTACCCGGTTTAAAACCGGTTTTTATTGGTTTAGTCAGATTGTTATTGATTCATTCCATACCCGGTTTAGTAAGCAAATCATATCGGATTTCAGTCTGATTTACTGATTTTCAGGTTAAACCAGCTGGTTCGGTCTGATTTTTTTTTATCTTGAAAATAGGTCATTAGGAATGAGAACACAATGTTGAAGGAAAAATCTGATAATAATAATGATATCATGGTAATTTGGCTGTGTACTAAAACCGTGACTAGTTTACCAAAAATGGTGTACATTAACTTATTGTTAAAAGGAACTGGTTTGTCCGTAATCATCATTAATTATGGTTATATTTCCTCAGTTATAAATATAAAATCTATTTTATAGTATGATTTTACACTACAAAATGGGTTGAGGAGTAATTTAAACACTAAATTAGAGTTGAGTCCATAGCACTAGCAGTAAGCACTAATCAGATATTCTTGAATACATGAGGGCACCTGGTATAATAAACACAATAAGTTAATTGAAAAATTAAAGCCGATCGAATTTCAATTTCCGGTTTCCATATTTGTAAATATATTTATAATGTGATTGAAAATAAGAAATAATCCCATTATCTTCAAACATGGTACATAATTTATTTTAAGCTTTTGTCCTTTTTATAATGCTTCATTTGGAATTTTAGAATGTTTTATAATATATTTTTACATATATTCGTATTTAATGATTTTTTTTTTCTCCGACCCATATTAAATGATTACACAACTAACTTTATTGGCCTCTGTGAATTTGGCGAGTAGATATTACATTTAGTACGGCATTTTGGCACTAGGCTATTTATTTTTAGACCTATTAATTCTTTTAATTTTATAAAAAGGAAAATTTAAAAGGAAAGACTGAAGTGCCGCCACTTTGATTAGCGCAGTCAAGGCATCCTAGCGAATCCAACCCGGATTCCTGACCAGGTTCGCTTATGAATATTCCCAACCCACGTCGCTTTCATTCACCTTGCCTCTCTTCTTTCTAAATTCAGTTTCCTTGTACGGATCCTTGATCAGGATCAATATAGTGCTCATTTAATTGTAGTCTATAATTAAAATATTTAAATATGCTAATAAAATATAAAATTTTTATGAAAACAATGAAAAACTAATGTCCTCAATTATTAGCTGGAATATCAGTTGCAGAATTTTCACATTCTAATACCAAATTCTAAAAGAGTGACGTTCAATACATATAATTGTAGAAATTGATTTAACACTGATCTTTCACAGTTTACTGCTGATTATACAATGTTATTTGCAGCTGATTGTTTTCAAGCACAAGAAATATTTTATGAGAAATGGCAGTTAAGCAACTTCATTTGGTTTATTTAATTATTAAGAGGCCTTGCTTCTTGGGTAAAATTTTAAAATGTTCTGGTTTGAAATCATAATTAAGTTGATACAATGAACTCGAGTGTCATTAATTCCATCATGTTTCTCCTCAACAGGGTGATGATGACGCTTTTATGGAGCCATATTCCGTAAACACAAGGGGGTTAATTGTAATAGCAGTGAAACACACGTGGCATGAGTGGAGAAGGCAGAGGAATGTGGGCGGAGTTTGCATCCACATTCATTCAGATGTCGGGGTATAAATGCTTTTGCCCTTGCCAATGTAATCTGTGTCGGACGCTCTCAATGAGAGAACGCGGGAAGAAGGGCAGGAGCCCCAAACACGACCTTTTCCATGTTATTCACAAGCTTCCTTATGGAGATACTCCTTATGTCAGGGCCAAGCATGCTCAGGTATTTATCTCCATGCTTTCTTTAATTAGGGTTTAATTAGCCACAAACAACAATAAATTTGACTTTTCAGCGCAATCTGATCTCCGCTTATTTGCTTCTCAACGAAACATATATAGTACTCCATCATCCACTCACCCTGCCTTGACTATTACTTTAGCGTTTCTTCATATATACATATATATGCCTTGATAATTCATAATCAGTACATGTGAAGAAGCTAAAGAGGCATAACATGCATGGGTGTGAATGAAGCTGGTGGAGAAGGACGCAGAAGGGGCCATAGCATGGTTCAGGGAGGCAATAAGAGCGGGGGACAGAGTTGGGAGTGCTCTCAAGGACATGGCGGTGGTGATGAAGCAGTTAGACAGAGCCCAGGAAGCCATTGACGCCATCCAATCCTTCAGATCCCTTTGTTCTCCCCGTTCCCAGCACTCACTCGACAATCTCCTCATCGACCTCTACAAGGTATGTATCGATATCTCTCCATCCCTCTCACGCCAATCCCTTCCCTTATTCATCAATCCGTGCATGCCAGAAATGCGGAAGAACAGAGGAGCAGATACGACTGCTCAAGAGAAAATTGAGATTAATATACCAAGGCCAGGCCTTCGACGGCAAGCCCACAAAAACTGCTCGCTCTCACGGCAAGAAATTCCAAGTTTCCATCACGCAAGAAACTGCCCGATTACTGGTACGGTGGCCCTCCCTTAATGAATTAGTACTTTCCATGCATATGTCATATGTTCATCACAGTGAAGCTAATTTACTGGCTGACTGGGAGCAGGGAAACTTGGGGTGGGCCTACATGCAGAAGGGGAACTACGTGATGGCGGAGGCCGTGTTTAAGAAGGCGCAGATGATAGAGGCAGACGGGAACAGGGCCTGCAATTTGGGGCAGTGCCTCATGAGGCAGGGCCGATACGAGGAGGCCCAATGTGTTCTTGAGGAAGTCATCACCGCCGCAGCCGACGGCAAGTCCAGGCAAAGAGCCCACCAACTGATGACGGAATTGAAATCCGCAATATCTGCTGACGCCTTTGTCCAAGGAATTGACCAACTACTTCCTCTTTGGCGGTCCCACGCGTGCACATCCAGAAGGCTTCCCATCTTTGAACAGATCACTCCCCTCACTCTCACGGATCAACTATCCTGCTCATAATACATAAAAATGGTGGCCAATGAGAATAACATATTATTTGTCTTACAGCGTAGGTGTACCGTTTTCTGCACCTATGCTGCATGTTTATACAGTTATACTCCCCGTAAATACCACTCCCTCGCAATAATCAATACATCTCAGTTAAGAATTAATATATTTGATTTCCGTTGGGTTTCATACCTTTTTACCCTTTTCTAATAATTCTTTTTCTTTGCATAACTCATTCACGATGTACCGTTAGTTCTTCCAGTCACTTTGATCTTCTCAACCCAAACTTGTCAAACTCAGAAGTTCAATAAATGAACGAAGAAAGGGTGAACTCGTAACAAAATCTTAAAAGAATTTATGTTTTATTAAATGATCAATAACAAGTATCTGATATTGTAGAATTAACTAAGAAAATATGAAAGGCCTCGAGCAATTCGATAGTGATAGAATTTGTGAATGTGACTGATGAGCTAGAGAGAGCATAGATGGAAGAGCGGGCCACTTCAATTCATTGACTCGTCTTCTACCTTGGCTAGTAAAAGCTCTCTACTTCCCTCAAAGGGTAAGTCTAGTGGGGGGAATTAATTTCTCATACCGTGACAAATCAATATTAAAATTCTTATTCAGAGAAGTATTTATATTTAATACCCGACAGTATTTTGAATACGATTGTTTTCAATAAAAAAATACCTATGCATTAACAAAAAAAAAAAAAGTTCTCTATTGCCTTTGCCTTGCTTTCTCTTCCTCCACCCGCCATCCTGTG